TTGAATAGGACATGTCAAACCCTAGCCTTACCCCCTCTGGCCAAGCGTCATCAACCAATGCTACCACTGCGGTCACTGTGGTCAACAACACCAACGCGGCCCCTGTGACTGGTTGGATGAATCAGCGTAAGTACAGTCGGGTGCGGATAGTTTACATAACGGCCAGATTTAACCACTGAGCACAAGATGCAATTCAAAGATATATAAAAAATGGCTAATCACAAAGACTGCTAAAATTGTATATTATGAAAGCTGACATGCTTCTCTAACTAAGGATACATTCTGAGTTCAATGACTCAACAAAGAAGGCCCAAAAACACTATATTCACCATTTTGTATGCCCTCCCTTTGCTTCAATCACAGCTTGCATCCGGGCTGGCATGGATGCCACAAGAGATTCCAGCTTGCTATCTGAAATTGAGTTCCATTCAAGATTTGATACAGTCTTCATTTCAGACACTGTCCAAGGCTGATGTTTTGTTGAGACGGCCATTTTCATGTCTTGCCAAATATTTTCAATCGGGTTGAGATTGGGGCTGTTGGCTGGCCATTCTAACTTTGAGATGGGGTGCATATCTCTCCAAGACTGAGCAACTTTGCATCAGTGAACAGGTGCCCCATCCTCCATCAAGATTAAACCAGAGGGAGTGGTGGGAGAGTTGAGAAAGGGACCTAAACTACCCTCATATACTTGTCCAACAAAGTCAGATCCTGTTCGCTTTCCGGGTTCCATGAAGATCATATCAAGCCGAGAATTTGCAGTGAAGGCACCCCAGATCATTGTTGAACTGCGTCCGCTTTTGAAAGTTGGGGTTAAACAATCTTTATTGTATTTTTCACCAGCCTTGCGCCACACCTGAACCTGACGAGAATTCTTCCCAATTTCAAAACTAGATTCATCCGTCCAAATCACTTTCTTCCAATCATCTACAGTCCAGTTCTTGTGTTTTTTTGCAAATTTGAGTCGCTTAGTCATATGAGAAGGTGACAGGTAAGGTTTTGCTACAGCTACACATGAATGAAAACCAAGTTTGTGGAGCTCTGAGCGCACCGTAGTGCAACCAACTTGAGTAGGCAAATCCGAAGCAATGTTGGCCAGTGGAGCTCTTCTGTCCTTCTTTGCTTGCCTCACAAGGCTCCTTCAATCTTGATCTGTGAGTTTTTTGGGTCTTCCAGAGGCTTTTGACAATGAGAAAGTATTTGTTCTCTTGAACTTTGAAATTGCTGTATAAACGGTTGGCCTAGGATGGTGGAGCTTTTTGGATATCTCGGTACCTGAAAGACCAGCCTTGTGCATTCCAATAATACAAGCACACTCAACAGGCTCTAAGCACCTTGTTTTCATTTTTTGAGAAACAATGATCAAGAGTTGTTCCAGGAATTTGGATGGTAAAGGTGATATACCTTCACACATAGACACAACCAGCGGGGGTTGTTATGTAAACTATCTGCACCCGACTGTACATACAATTCTTCTACCTGATATCTAAGTGACAGACAAAATCAAGCCAAGCTAATTGTATGCCTAGTTTGGGAAGTCCCCAATGACCATTGGGAGGGAGATGATGCTCCAGCCCGTTCTCTCAAAATGGACCCTTTGTTTCAAGTCGGCTCTTTTGAGCGTGAAGAGTTTGATAAGCATAAGAAGGTTGTTATACAGGTGCTTTTCAAGATCCATATGGAGAACAAGGTCATCATCAAGGCCCAACATGCTTCCAAACGTTCTGGAACAACCACTGTCAACCTGATTGACTCCAAGTTTTTCAACACAGGTGAAGTTTTGGAGCTCAGAACTTGCTTATACGGCAAATCTTTCAATGACCTCAAGGAGCTAGCAACGCCACCGGCGCTCCGCCCGAGATAGCGCGGGCGGAGCGGTAGCACAGCGCCCGCCCCGCCCGTGCTATGACTTTGGCCGCATAGCGGCCAAACCGCCCTGCTATAGCTATGGCCTAGCCCTAGCCAACTTAGCGGTTTTGGGTTAAGTAGGGCATAGCGCAATCTCGCTGTGCTATGAGGCGCCACAGCGCCCACGAGCGCTTAGCGCCATGGGACCTCATAGCGCCTCATAGCAACCCATAGCGCAACCCATAGCCATCTATAGCAACCCATAGCACGCAAACTGGGTTCCAAGGTCAGTCTCGACCTGTCTCGACTCTCAAGCATCAACACTATAGTCTATAGCTCAATACCCACTCGATCTGGATCCCACCTTCACCTCACAACATATCGAATACAACCAATTCACGCCCATATCCCAATGGAATACTTTGGGATTCAATACCCGAGTCACGCCTAAACAACCATCAGTCTCACCTTTACTGGACCTTCATACGTGCGATTCATCTTTGAAAGATGGAGTGGTTTTGTAGGCAACAAGTGATCCCGGCTCCATCTATAAAAGGCTCTCAAGGTGAGTGCATTTACGACTTTCTCATCAATCCCATCATTCTTTGGGTCTTTGACTATTTGGCCTTTTTCTAACCCTGGTTCCACGATCCCTCTTTAACTTACGATTAGACTTTCCCCTTTATCCATCTACCCTTATCCAATTACACTTCGATTTAGATTGTCCGGATAATCATTCACTTGTCTTTTATACCATGTCACCTCCAGCTGCCGATTCCAAAAGCTACACCCAATCAACCCTCCAGCTTGAGGGTTTGGATACCCTAGGTCCAACCTCAACTCGTATCACAACTTCGCGTACACTTCGAGTTCGAAGCCCAGCACGCCCTCGACCAGGCTTTGTTATGCCGTCACCTGACTCCCAACGATCGATTCAATTACCCAGCAAAGATGATGTATGGGAAGACGAGGACCACACATCAGATGTGTCATCGATTGCACCGCCATCCGAGTCAGCTTCTGTCAGAGTGCGAAGAGTCCCCAAGTCAAAGTCACCTTATTTTCAACGTGAGGGTAAGCGCAAGAGCTCGACTTCTAGAAACGTTTCGAGCACATCTCAACACCGTGGAGCCCCAGTAAAGAAGAAGAAGAAGCAAAGTAATGTCCTTCAGGTATGTTCAATACATTTCTATACCTTCTTTAACCTTTTTTTTCCTTATCAAGTTCTCATGCATGCTTCTTCAGGACTATGATGTTCCACGAGGTGTCGACGTCAATCAGGATTCCGATGTAGAGGTGGTCAAAACGCCAGCTGTTAGACGTGCCCACCTCGGCCGTGTATGCAAGCTCTTAGAGTTCTATGAACCCCCGATTCATGTGAAAGGCGAGGTACGAGTGGCTCTCATATAGTAGTTTCTTATATTCTATATGAGTGTTTGTTCTCTGACAATGTTGTTATGATGATTGTTCATATGTCTAGACAGGAGACAATCCTCGTTGATACCGATGCAGATATTGTCGTGGGTACTTTGTGCGCGGCAAGCGGAGTCACTTCAACTTGTACTCTCATCGCGACGGAGCGAAGGACCGTCCTGCCTGTCCAAAACGACACCTTGCGATACGATTGCTCGCGATTATCTTGGTGTTTCAGGTACTACTTGCCCGTGTGAGCGGACTTTTTCCTCTGCTGCAGACATCACTGTCCCCGGTCGCAGTTCTTTAACTGCAAAGATGGTCAGCAAACTTGTTAGCGTACGTGAATGGTTAAAGTCGGAGATCAGACTTTCTGGTAAATATGCTGATGCATGGGCGTATGTCCAAGCTTATCAAGCCCAGCAAAAGAAGGCTAAGAAGTAATTTTTTTAAAAAGATGTTGCTTTTACAATTTTGATACTTTTCTTTAATTCTGTTTCCTCAACAAAATATTCAAACACATAAAAATATGCCTGTTTTCTATTCTTTCTCGATAAAATCTCCAAAAAAACTCGATTTTTTTTTTCTTTGTCAATATTTGTGTCCGGCTTGTTTCTTTGGTTTTGTGTGACTGTCAAATCCCCACTCTGGTGAATACATGCTTAGTAATGTCAAGTGCTGCGTTCCAAACAAAAAAAAACGCTTTTTGTCGCTATATTTTGTGAGATCAGTCAGAGCGGAGCGGAGCGTTTGGAGACCCCGAAAAACTCGCTTTGAGTCGCTAAGTCATGTGAGATTTAGCGATAGCAGAGCGGAGCGCTTGTAAAGGCCGCACTGCTATCAATAGTCATAGCGCCTCCCAGTATATAGCGTAGCGCTGGGCGATTTATTTGAGCGCCAAACCGCTCCGCTCGTGAAAATGGCGAATATAGCGGAGCGGAGCGCCGGTGGCGTTGGAGCTAGCTGGGGCTATATGCAAACGTTATGCCCCTGGAATGAAGAAGATGGTACTTCACTCCGACGTAGCCCCCATCTTGACTTGGAAGGTGACTTCTGGCCGCCAACCAGTCATTTTTCTTGAGGATTACCATAAGTATTTCAATATGGTTCAAAATGTGCAAACCCAAAGGCGCCGAGCTATTCTGCTCATTTATACTGAGTCTTCAAAGGTTGCTGCAAAGAGAAAGGCCCACATGAGTCATCCATGGATTAAATCTTTTAATCTCTTCTGTTCATTTTTTTCATTTTTTTCCAACTTTATTAATTTTTTTGCATTTTGAATTCATCCTTCATGCTCAGGCAAGCGCAGCTGTAAAGCCCATTGCCACTAACAACGGCCCCGAAGCAATTCACTTGGAGCTTGCCCATACCAATGAGCGTCTAAAGGTGAGTTTGTGGTGCTATTGCGAGTTTTGGTTCCACTTTGTGAACTTTCTCTTTGTATTTCGGCAGGCATCTGAAAAACTTGGTGGCATTACACGAGACCACCGCTGAAATTTTCAGTAAACACGCTGAAACTGGCAGGAAAGGCGGTGATGGAGTAATTTTGACACCCCCCTTGGGATCCCAACTTTCATTACCAATCCACGCTGAAAGTGGCATTCAAGTGGGCCCAGAGTGTAGTAATTCCATCCTTTTTTTTTAATCTTTCCCCGTCACTTTTCCCCTTTGGCCATCCTGTCTCTATCTATATTCATTCCTTTTTGTTATTATAGCAAAACAATCTCGCTACTCTCACAATGCCACCTAACACTAGGGAATTCCGTGCCGAGATCACCAAGACCCAAGTCATGCATCCTGGCATGAAGCTGAAAGACCGACTCAAGCTCAAATATCAACCTGGGACCTCGTTTTCCAGTTCAAGTACCAGCAACAGCCATCAAGTTCAAGGTTCAGGAGAATCACCTTTCAAGAATGGGGCCAATCTTACCCAGGAATCTTGTAAGTGATCTATCACTTTGAAAAGTTGTGGTTTGACACTCACATTATCTCTTATTTTATCCGGCGGATGGACCTAAAATCAAGGTCTGCAGTGGTCAGCGAGGTCCTTTCTTGGACAACGGTAAACGTTTCAAGCAAGAATCATGTAAGTTTTCTTTTTGTTTTTTGTTTTCGTTGAGGTTAAATCTGACCTACAATGTATTTAAACAGCCGATCCTCAACTCTTGAAATCTCCATCCAAACAGGGTGGGAAGCGCGAAGTCCTGGGCACTGTGACCAACCTACACCACAAGAAGATGAAGAAGGAGCTTAGTAAGTGTTGGACTCCTGCCTTTGAGACTTTGAGATTACTAACTAACAAAAACTCTCTTGATTTAGATTCAGCTGTGTTTTCCAAAACCAAAAATTCCGAAATGTGTTCCAAGATGTCGAGCGCCAATCTTGATGAGTTGGAGTTGCTTCATGAGCATGAAGCGCTCTTTGACAAGTTTGTCAAAGAATGTGGTGTGACCACAAACTACGCCAAAACCCGCAACATCATGATCAAATCAGGCTACAAATCGTGGACCGACCTTGTGCCCAGCCTTAAAATGACTGAGCACACTTTGGTCGAATGTGTAATTTGCTCAGACCTTTGTAGTGTCATGCTTGACAAGTCTCAGGCAAGCCACAACAAAATTAACAAAATTCGTGAGCAATTCAACTTGTCCAGCAATCGATTCATCACCTCATTACTGACAACAAAACCTTTTAAATTCTTAAGAAATATAATCTTCTGTCATCTGGGCGATCTCGGTGATTTGTACCTGATGATCAACTTGCAAAGGTTTTGTCTACCTGATCTTTCTTCTTTTTCTTTTCAACAGGTTTTTTGGTTTGGTGCTGGTGCAATCCCTCTTTTATTTGTACCTTGAACATCACTGTTTTTTTTGTTTGTTTTCTTTCTTTTTAACCTTGGTTTGGTGCTGGTGCAATCACTCTTTTATTTGTACCTTGAACCTCACTATTTTTTGCTTTTTTTTGTTCTCTTTCTGTTTGTCCCTTTTTGGGCAAGGGTCATTGTTCAATCCCTTGTTTATTCGTACATTGAACCTTACTTCTTCAATTCTTCCTCTTGGTTTTGTTTTTCTTTTGTTTCTTTTTTCCTTGTCTTGATTTTTGGTGCAATCCCTCTTTTATTCGTACCTTGAACGTCACTGGGTTTTTTGTTTCTTTCAACTCCTTGTTTTGTACCTTGAACAGCTTTTGTTTTGTTTGTTGTTAGCTTATGTTCAGCCTCCTCCATGTGAGCAAATCAATCGCAAACAATTTTTTATAATCATCAAAGTGCCTGACCCAATCAAGTGAGATGATCCATACCTGTGACACAATCAATGAACAATAGCATGTTCAAATATCACATCTATATGCACTTTATAATCATCAAAAATTCCAAAATTGGAGCGTATTCACATATTCATCCAAGGGAGGCGATGAAAGACTGATTTGAACATCAATCAGGTATATATGATTGATGTTCACAATATAAATTTTTCATTATGCATCCTAAAGAATAACACATATTTTCAACGTTTTATTTTCAATGACCAACCAACATTGAAATGTTCAAATTCAAATGTTCAAAGTCAATTTGATATATTGGCAAGGATCTCTAGCACGCTGTTTGATTAGCATTCAGAAAAGACAACGATTTTTGCATTGAATAATCCTTTGATGACAAGTATGGAATTTAATCAATCAGAGCTATAAAAAAACATAACAAACAGAAGGAAATCCGGGAGGAAAATTGGAAACAATAAAGAAAACTGAGAAATAGACAACAAGTACGGAAGGATTTAAAAGGATTTAAAGACGGGAGAATCACGCAAGTTATTCTCCTCACAAATAGTTAGTCCCAAGAAGGAGAGCCTCACAAAGTTCAGCGGTGAAGAGTTCCATGCATGTCCCAAAAATCCTGGCCTTCTCTTCATCAACATTCACAGCGTCCTGAATATCCTGTGTACGTCACAACCTAGCCTTTAGAGGCAAAAAGCCCTTTTTGATTGGATTGAGATCGGGGCTATGTGGTGGGAGATATAGCAGTCGAATGCCTTGTGCCGCACAAAGATCCACCACAGTTCCACCATGGTGGATTGGAGCATTATCCATGACCAGCACACTGTTGCGTTGAGGCCATGGATTCATTGCTGGCAACTGTGTGAGGTCGATAATATAATATATATTGTAAGTAGCTTCCCATCAAGAGTTGTAATTGATTAAACCGCTGCTTACCAAATGATGCTACAAGTGTTCCTCAAAATTGATCCGAGAATATCCACCTCTCTGGATCATAACTGCCAAGACGCCATCAAGGGAAATTGCCGGTAAGACTGACCACCAAACCGCTTGAGTAGGGCGCTTGAGCCTCTTGGTACATTGACCAAGTGGAGCTTGCACAGATTCCCGATACAATTGCCGTTTGGTAATGGCCGTTTCATCTAAGCAGCCGGGTTTATTGATTATTCAATAGGTGAAAACAAAACCAAAAAAAAAGAGTTACACACCTGTGAATACAAGGCATCAGGGATCAATACCATGGAGTGCTTGAATGAAAGCTCCTCGGGCAGCTGGAGATTGGTTTGGGTGCACCGTTCAAGCCGTCTTCCGAGTCCAAAGCAAGCGGTCTCTGAGCTCATTTGAGAGCGTTTGTATGCTGACTCGGACGCCATGGGTCTCAAGAATTTTCTCTTGAAGTTCATCTAGATACAGCGCAGGATTGTGTTGGAGCAAATCTAAAATAAATTCTTGTTTGGGTTGTCCTAAAGCAGTGGGAGCTCCACGGGCCACGTGGTTGAACGGGTTGGTGATGACTGCTTGTGTGGTGCGCTAGAGTTTGAACCATTGCCGCACCGAAGTCAGGGAGACTCCTACTCCCAAGGTTCAAACAATCTCTTGGTACGATATGCCACGTAACGCCATACAAACGACGACAAGCTTAATATTGGTGCTGTAGAGGTTAACGGGCATTTCTACAGACAAGGAGGAACAAGAATGGCAGATGAGAAAGGCAGATGAGCAAGGTATAGATGGAAAGAAGCGATTGATAACCAAAAAAACTCACTGAGAAAAAGAAGGAAAGAAAATGATGGTGAAGATGGGAGGTCAAGCAAAATTGAGGAAGGGTCCGTGACAAAGGAGATGGGTCCTAGTAAAAAAGGTTCCGTGAATGGAACAAACATGGGATACTATGGCTTCTTGAAGACAAATAGAAATGTCAAAAAATTTGGACATTTTTGCATGTCATACAGCCATTCCGATAATTCTTGTCGCTCACATTTTTGAAAAGAAAAAGTTCATGAGCTCAAAACCTAAGTTTTAACTATTTAAAACCTGAAAATTGGCTGTATTTCCTTGAATTACAGCCAATTTCAAAGTTTTGTCAAGTAAAAACTTAGGTTTCACCAAGTTTCACTTTTTCTTTTTCAAAACGGAGCGACAAGAGATATCGGAATGGCTGTATGTCAGAAAAAAAAGAAAAAAAAGCGGCTTTTTCGTCCTTTGGGACAAAAAGGTTAAAACCATTTTTGACTCATAATTTCCACAAAGTGACCAATGATTCCTGGAGCTGCTGTACATAGATGATTGGCAAACAAATAGGAAAAGAAAGATGAATGAAAGGATGAGATTAAGTGGAATGAAAAGATTTTTTGGTCCGGGGCAACAGACTTGCAGCGGACTTGAGCTTGGAATAAGCTTGAGCGGGCTTGAAGTTGCAGGGGGAGTTTCATGTGAAAATTTCGCATTTACGGGACACAAAGTAGAAGCCGGGCACGTGCCCGGCTTCTGTACTTTGTATCCCACAATTGTTAGGTTTTGACTCATTTGGCGCTCCACAGCCACCTTACGTGCAGCAGTCAGCAAAACTCAGTCCCGCTTGCTTTGAGATTCCCATCATCTTTGTGGAAACCAAAAGCCTGTTTCTTATACTTTTTTAATATTTCTACTATTCGCTGTACATATACAATACTACAGAATGCGAGAGGTGTCAAGGTGACAATGCAAAAATCAAAAATCAAAAATCACAATTCCCGGGTGCGAAATTCAAAAATCAAAGACAAAACTACAGAAAATATTCAAATACAGGGCAAAAACCCCTGTACTGGAGTAAAAGTCATGGCACAAACCACTTTCAGACCAGGTTACGGCCCAAATTTCAGTAGATTGACAACTTGAAACTCAACATTTGTCACCCCATTGTCGCATTGACACAAAAAGTACCAGGAAAGCCACAAAAGAGGAAAACAAAATTCAAAAATCAAAAAAACAAAAGTCGAAAATCAAAAAACAAATGTCAATAATCAAAAAACAACAATTAACAAACCATAAACGAAGACCCCAAAGATGAAAACTTCACATTAGATGATGAAAATTGTACAAACCACCTCTCTACCTCTCTACCTCTCAACCAATCACACAACCCATACACCACACACCATCACCGATCATCTTATATTGGCCAGTCATTCATCCACATTCATCCATCTTTTGTCATAGTCTCCACCCATCCACCTTGTTCAACAAAACCTACACTACACTGAACTTCTTTGATTGTCGTCACTCTTCTTCATCCTTCTTTGATCGTCTTCACCCTTCTTCAATCTTCTTGGATCGGCTTGAATCCTCTGTAATCTTCTTTTATCAGCTTCAATCTTCTTTATCTTCTTCAATCGTCTTCCATCTTCTTCACCCTTCTTCAATCTTCTTGAATTGGCTTCAATCTTCTGTAATCTTCTTTTATCAGCTTCCATCTTCTTTAGTATTCTTCAATCTTCTTCAATCGGCTTCCATCTTCTTTAGTATTCGTCAATCAGCTTCAATCTTCTGTAATCTTCTTTAAATCTGCTTCTTTTGTATTCTTCAATCGACTTCAATCATCTTCAATCATCTTCAATCATCTTTGATATCCCTCGATCCCCTTTGATCTTCTTTAGTATTCTTCAATTGCCTTCAATCTTCTTTTCAACATTTGTGTGAGTCAAATGAATCAATACACTTTCTTCAAGCTTGCTCAATCCCGTGTTTTATTTTCCCAATGGTTCAAAACTTTCCGGTCTATGCAGGAAGTGGTGCTACCACTGAATGTGCTTATTTCTTTGAAGAAGTACTTGATGTTACACAATACCGCAAGTATACCAGCAATCACAACTTTGAACTCCGGGGTTCTGAAAGTCCTTTTGTCAATGATGTAATGCAAGCTCTCAGTCATTGGTCTCATAAACACTATAACGTAAGAAGAATGGTTGCAGATCTTCAGGGGGTGGGTTTGGTATTGACAGACCCTTTGATTGTGGATCCAAGCAAGTAAGTAGATTGGTGCTTGTATGCAAAATGTTTTCCTGACTGTTTGTTTCACCCATAACCCAGTATGGCTTGGTGTGATTGAAACACTGGAAGGAAAGGCTTGGAGAATTTCTATACCCAGCGCAAATGCAATAGGATATGCAAGCACTTTGGGTTGCTCCGCCCAAAAATAGCACAATTAAGTATATGGGAGGAGATGGAGCTGTTGTATGGAGGTAAATCTGGGGAACAAACTCATATTCCAGCAAGAGATCAGCACATGGTGTAAAATGAGGAGTAAATTCTTTCATTTCAACTTGTATTCCAAAATTTGTTGCTCTTAAAAATTCCAAAAAATTACAAAAATACTTTGCTCACAAAATTATCATCTTAAACACATGGGGCATCAGTCTCTTCTGCCAGTTTCTTGCTGGAATCATACACAAATAGAG